GCGTACCATGTTGTCTTTAAGTAGGCTCTGTCATTAGAATTGCACATTAATTAATTATTGATTAAGTAATGTTATTTAATTATATACTTTTCCTGTTAACAAATTGTTTTGCTTTTCAGTCGTGGTTTCGATATGCTCGAGAATTTATGAACGTCTACAGTGATATGCCTCGTTTTCTGCTTATGCACCAAAGTCTACTATCTCACGACGACATAAATTTGGTGCAAGTGGAGGATGAGCATCTCGCACAAGTGCTCACGTCTATGCATAAGAGCGGTACGCTTAACACCTATGGACCATTTGCTCTTTTGAGCCATAGTGCGGATGATATAGTTGCAATCGTTCGCGGCGGTCTCAAGAAGATTGGAAGGAGTCCACCTGTGTCTCCACCACTGGTGTTTTATTCCGAAATTGATCACTAACCGGTCGTCATTGGTAAAGCAAGCAGACAGTCTCTTTTCGCTCCTCCTAACACTGCCCTGACGTTATCAACAATATAAAGGCCATTTAAGAGAGACGCTCACGTGCTCAGCCTGTTCGCAGGATTAAGTCTTTGTCAGTGTAATATGGTCAGCAGCTTTGTGGTCAGAGACTATATCACTTTCCTCCACATTAAGTGACAAAAGCACAGCGACGGTTGTGGCCTGAAGGTCCGCTACCCATGGGAATTGCTCCGCCCGCTCTGGGAGATCTGCCAGCGATTCTGCTCATAAGTGCAGGTGTTAGTCATTCTGTGAGGCTAGCCTGGGGTTTTCTGGTCTCCTAACTACCCCTTCTACGCGGAATGTAAGGCATTCTGCTTTCCTTGAATGTCTTTAAAGGGACGCATGCAAGGAATTTATTTTGCAAGATAGGGTGCATTTGGCGTTGCCCTAATTCACCGACTATGCAAGTGCATTGCAAACTTCCTCTTGTCATTTTATGTTTTTTCCTCGGACAATTAGTACTGGATGATGCCTAAAAATGGTTTGTTGACCATTCCTAGGCATCATCCAGTACTAATTGTCCTAATTGTAATTGGTAAGGAATGACTTGTTGCCATTCTTTACCTTGAGGCCTCTATGCATCCCTTGGTCAAGTCCGCAGAAGTCGCGCAATAGATTCCTAAGGGACTCACTTCGCGAATATAGGTTCATGATTGAACATTAGCAGAGTATGCAGTCGGCCGGAAGGCAGCCCTGAATGATCTTTCCGTTCATTTTTGATTAGTATATTATTTAGGTGAGCTGGACAACTCGTTAGTGATTGTTATGGCTGACCACGGCCATCGTTTCGCTAAATTGAGGGAAACCCATCAAGGGCAACTCGAAGAGGTTGGTTGCAGTAGCTTTTTTCTGAATTACCATAGCAATTGTTTAAATACAAGTGCATTGCGATATGAATAAGCATAGTAGATGCAATTTTGTCCCTCGTTATCTTCGACCTTTGTCTGGGGCACATTATCCGGACGAATGGTTAACTTTTTCAGCGATTGCCGTTTTTCTCTATTGCATTACCGGCGGCCTTCAGAGAAACGGCACACGGTAAAAAGATGTACGAAAATTTGAAAAATAATAAGGACAGGTGAGCGATGTTTGTAATACGTGATATTAATAGTAGGTATCGTCTTCACAGTGTGATAATAAGGTGACAACGAAGCTTCCAACTACCCTTACTGATTCTTTTTCCTTCCTGCGTTCAGGGACGGTCCGAGGGAAATTTCGAAACAACAGAGGATTCCAACGAGCAGATTTTTCTTCAACATAGTTGTGTTCCTTCTTTTCAATGGTGCAACTGTTCGTAAAAAGCAACCAACAACTGCAGTTCCCTCTTAACTCAATTCTTAACTCTAATTGCAGCACAGTCTTAGCAAAAAAGACTGTGCTCACTGCGAACTTATATTCTCGCATGGTATTGACATGGTGCTTGGCGTGGAGCCGCAGGATGATTAGAATCTGACTGCAACGCCGGGGCGAGGCATTCACAATTGTTACTTTACTTCTACTCTTTTTTTCGTTCAAAGTTCTCCTGCTAAAATTACATAGTACTTCAAAAGGTACTTACGGTCCACTATCTTTTCTATTGAGAAAGAATGAGCGGTCATCTAACCTTGAGATAATTTGTTCCAGGTTGTGACTATTCGCTCGGATCCACTACAATTCTCGATAGTTAGATCTGGTATTTGTTTGGTGACAACCCTCCCCCGCCCCCGCGCACCAGCCCGCTTGATCACTCGACAGCAGTTCTTTTTTCAGGGGGGGAAACAGAATTTTTTGGGGGAATGGAAAATTAGTGGAAAAATGATAAATCGCTGTGAGGTCGGGAATGTCATTGGTGGTAAAATGACAGGACGTGCTCTGGTCGGACTGATCCTCGTTCTGAAGCCAAGGTGCAAAAACTAGTCATCTCGAAACAATCACTTTATATATTTTTATTGTTTACATATCTTTTTACTAGTGATTCTCCAACGGCGCAATCTGAAGATACGGGGGAGGGTGGGCATACACAGGCGATATGGCTTTTTTCGGTTTCAGTTAATTCACTTGTATTCAGGCTTTCGACTCCTTTTGATATTTATTCGACACTTATGGACGTTCTGCACTTACCAAGCGATTTG